CTGCACATCTCCTACTGGGGATGTGCCCGCAACCCAGGTACATGCCCTTGACCGGAATCAAACCTGGGACCTTTCAGTCCGCAGGCCGACGCTCTATCCACTGAGCCAAACCGGTTTCGGCATGTTTTCCATTTTAAAATAACTTCTTCTTCAACATTATTTTATTATTATTATTATTTAATCCTCACCTGAGTAATTTTCTCCTTTGATCCTTAGAGAGATAGACGGGAGAGAGGGAGGAGGAGGAGAGAGAGAAACATCTATGTGAGAGAGAGACAGACATATTGATTGGTTGCCTCTCACAGGTGTCCCAAGTGGGGCTGTGGAATGAACCTGCAACCCAGGTACGTGCCCTTGACCGGGAATCAAACCCATGACCCTTCAGTTTGAGGGCCGGTACACTACCACTGGGCCACACCAACCAGGGCCCAAACACATTTTTAATGGTGTAAAGGTTCTCCCATAACTGTCTTCTTTAGAAGCCATGCTTAGTACGTAATTTTGTACACTACAGTCTTTTTTAATCACTAACACTTATTTTTACTCCGTTTCAAGTACAGGGTCTTTCTTTCATGAAGAAAACTTGCAGTTCTTACTATTTCCTGAAAATTTTATTATTGTTAATGCTTATATTTAGGCTAAATTAATTTGAAAGTAGATAAATGCTATCTGAGAATATAAAATAGGGAAGCAATGTCCACGAATAAAAATCAATCAAGTAAAAAAAAAATCAAACAAGTATAAACACTAAAGTTGTCACGTATCATTCAATGTGAAAATGTTGATTACATTTCCCAGCCTCAGAGCCTCACCCTTCAAAGACTAAGCTCTGTGTTGAAGTGGATTTCTCTGCCTGACAAGAGGAAACTTCCAGTCAGGGCTCAACCTTTGTTCCAGAACCTTTGATTTTATGGCGAGACTAGCCACACCTGGCTGCCAGGTCTGATCTGAGTGGAGGAGGTACCTGGGAGAGAACTGGTCGGATCTGAATAGGCATGCTTGACTGGAATGGTGAGTTAAAACTGAGGAGTGATGCACAACAGATATGAGGGAGGCCTCAATACTGCACGATTCCCAGAGAGACTGGAGGGAGAAAGGAATTTAGGCTTAATTATATCATCATTCATCCCCGAAGACCAGTCACATTTGTGCAAAATTCAACTCTATGTGTATAAACTTCTATATACATGTTTGGCAACCTTAACCTTTTTAATCCAGTTTACAAAAACTGCAAGTCATCTTTTCTGGGGATAATTAGAAAGAGTAGTTTTTTGTTTTGTTTTTTTAAAAATACTAGTATTGTTATTGAATTCAGAGAGGAAGGAAGAGGGAGAGATAGAAATATCAATGATGAGAGAGAATCATCCATTGGCTGCCTCCTGCACGCTACCTACTGGGGATCGGGCTGGCAACCCAGACATGTGCCCTGACAGGGAATCGAACTGTGACGTCCTGGTTCATAGGTCGATGCTCAACCATTGAGCCACACCAGCTGGGCTAGAAAGAGTAATTTTGACAATGAAAGCTTAGGAGACAGAACAGTGAAACAAAATAAGACCAGTGGCTAAAATTATGCCCCACTAGCGTCCATAAGGAAAAATGATTTTAGAGGGGCTGACACTGTGCTTTGGAATAATAGTTGCAGCTGCTATTTAGTAAAGTAACTGTGCTTCACACTGAACTGTTTCTATTTTATTTTATTCTGTTATTATTTTGTTTTCACACTGAACTGTTTTCGTACACAACACTGGCACCAAATGTGTGGGGGTTTTCTTCGCACCAACCACTTCAACTCCACAGCCAATTCAATTTTGACACTATTTATAGTGAGTGAAGGCTCAGTCCCACAAATCTGCCCCTTACTTTAGATGCCAGTCGGCAAGTCCCAGCTGCCCACCCACAGGTCTGATTGGGTATAAATTTGAGGGTTCCCATAATCCCTTCCTCAGGCCCATAATCGGCACACAACTCAGGAGAGTGCTTTACTGATGGTCACAGGTTTACTACAGAGGATACAAGTCAGAACAACCACGTGGAAGGGAAGCATAGGGCCAGCTATGGGAGGAGGGGTGCAGAGCTCCATGCCCTCTCCAAGCACACCCCCTCCCAGCACCTTGAGGGACCCACCAACCTGACAGCTCTCCGTTAGGGGTTTTAATGGAGGCTGTTTTGTAGGCAAGATTGATCAATTCACTGGCCAGCGAGGATTCGCCCAAACCCAGCCCTTTTCCCCTCCACAGAAGGGGCGAGGGGGGACTGAAAGTTCCAGTCCTGTAATCATGCCTTGATCTTTATGGGAACCAGCCCACATGGCACCTCTTGGGGCTACCAGATGACAGAGTCCATCTCATTAGCATACAAGAGGCATTCCTAACACTTGCCAGAGTCCAAGTGTTTTATGGGCTGTGTGCCAGGAACTTGGGACAAACACCAAACCTATATATTTCTTATAGTGTCATAGATATATAAAAACAAACAAATAAAAAAACACACAAGGAAAATCTGAGAAACTGTCACAGCCAAGATGGGATATGGAGACATGATGACAAAATGTAATGTGATTATTCTGAATGGGATCTTGGGCAGAAGACATTAGTCAAAATCAAAGGAAATCTGAACAAAGTATGGATATTTAAAATGTATAAACAAGGGGGAAGGGGACTCCTAAAAAAGAAAGAAAAAAATCAAAATAAAATATATGAATAAGTATTCATTTTAACAAATGCCCCATATAATGTTAGTAATAGGGGACACTGCTTGTGGAGTACAAGAGGACTTTACTTACCTGCTCGATTGTTCCGTAAATTTAAAATGATTCCAAAATAAAACGTTTATTTAAAAATAAAGTGTATTGACTATGATAAATGAATTAATCATCTTAAATAGATTTGGGTTGCAAGGAAGAGAAATCTAACCAAAGTAGCTTCATTAATAGGTAAGGCTGGCTGCTACATGGTCTTTGGGACACACAAAATGATGAGTAATTGTGCAGGGGGAGGGGTGGGGTAAGGGAGGCCGGGGGGGAGTCAATGGGGGAAAAAGGAGACATATGTGCCATCTGTAATACTTTAAACAATAAAATAAAGAAAGAAATAGGCTTGAAGGGAAAAAAACAGCAACATCATGAAAGGGCCCCTCTTATCTCTGGCTTGTGGCTGACTTCCCTTCTGTCCGTCTATCTTGGTGTCTTACAGAGCATTTCAGCAGCAGGGTGGGCAGCCCACTAGCAACTCCCTGTGTCTCTTACGTAAAAATTCTCAAAGCAGTACATCCTACTACTAGTAAATCCAGTGCCAGAAGTCCTTCGTTTACCTAGTCAGCTATGGACAGGCCCACTGTGGGCAGGTAATTACTGCTGGTTCCATTACCTGTGACCAGTTTCAGCTATATCCACTGGGCATCTATGGGTTTGTTCAGATTCTCTAAGGTGGGGGTTTTTTGAGGGTGAGGTGGGCAGAGCATGCCCCCTAAAATACATCTATGACCAAGAGATAAAACCAGGATTTGAATCTAGGTCTTCAGATTCCCAAACAAATGCGTATCCCATTTGAAGAAGTAAAATTACAAGTTAAAAACATCAAGTTCTTTTGACTTTTTCCCTTTTAATAGCTACTAGCAGTCAGCCCATATATCACAATTTGAATATAATAGTATGTATACATATGCATATGTAAAGATTGCCTGATCTCTTTTTTCCCAAAGGTGGCAAACTGTTCATGGTGGTTTCACTGTGGAATTGTGCAAGAGCATTCATTTTTAGCTCTTTTGGTTTAGAGAAGTGATGTAACAGCCGAACCCACAGCTTTACAGACAGAACTACACACCAGAAGGTATGACAATCAGTTTTCTTTTCACATGTGTATTATATATTTTTCTAACATAAAATTAAGTTTTCTGGGTCACATAAAGATATTCATGAATAAATTCTTGGTTTGGGACAAAAGGAAGCCACCAAAGTTTTCTCCACTGGACAGCACTATAAACAAAATGAAATGTCTGAGATAAAAACTTTCTGCTGTGGGCATACAAGTGGAGAAAAAATAATAACCCAAGAATAATTTAATGTTAGCAATAAGCAAAACCTAGAAATATTATTGACATATGAGGCATGAAGGAGTTAATTTCTTTTTTTTTTTTTTACTCTTATTAATGGAAAGTATTTCTGTACTCAACCTGAGGCCAAAAAGCAACCAAATAGTTTATCTGATCCATCAGAACGTATTGCTGAGGCTGAAATATCCTAAGTAGTACATGAACCTAAAATGATTAGTATTTAGTAAAGTCGAAGACTGTCAACTGATTTGTCATAAATATTTGACTGCAGATGTTCACCTGGAATATACCTGCAGTATATACTCCAGTGAGTACATTGGAATGCAGCTCAGTGGGTTACCTGTCTTGATTATTGAACTCTAATTTTTTTTTTAAAAACCTCTGACTTTGTTGCAAACACTCCTTATAATGCTCCTCAAATAGTTCTCAAAACATTCTATTACAATAAAATTGTAAATAGACTTCGAAAATGTCATGCAAGAGGCTTGGGGGTAAATGAACACAAAGATACCTCTTGGCGGTTTGAGACAAGAAGAAATAAATAGCATTCAAATACAAAACAAACAGTTCTGAACTCCAACTGGATTAATTGCATTCTTTTAACCACCGAGCAGGCACACCTATTCATGATCTAACTCATCCTAGCCACGGTGCAGAAACAACCCCTCTGCTAGAACTGGATTAGTTGCAAGGGTTTGCAGGGGATGCGGGAAGGAAGGAGAAATCTGTCCAGCTGTTCAGTTTGTCTCTATAGAAACGGACTTTGCAGCAGGAGGTAGCTTGTTTCCTTATCACCTCTTCGCTGCCTTTCTGTTTCAAAGGGAGACATAACCAAGGCCCCGAGTGCCGCCATCGGGGGTCCCGAACGGGTCCCCCTGGGCGCCCCTAGCATTCCAGCCCGTGGGTCCTCTCTCCCGCTCTCCCGCGCGCCGGGTACCCGCACTCACCATCTCGATGATCTTGGTCTTCCGCCCCGTCTTCCTCTTCAAGGTGAATATGTACTGGGCCAGCACCACTCCCGCCACCAGGGCACACACGCTGGCGCTCGCTACCGCGCCCATCTTCGCCACGGCCGCCCGATCCATGGGCAGATCCTCGTGCGCCTCCCCAGCGGAAAAGAACAGGTCGCCGGGCCGCTGGGGGCCTTAGAAGCGCGAGCTTGAAAGGCCAGGACGCCCCGCCTCCGCCGCTCGGCGCTAGCCCCGCCCCCGCCGAAAAGCCCCACCCCCGAGCGCCGAGGGGCGGGGACAGGCTAAAGAAGGGAGGGCGTGGCCTGTGTCGGAGGCCCAGGCGGCCAGTGGGCCTACCCCAGAGCCAAGCACTGAAAAGGGAATTGTATTAACTATCAGTCTCTGCTAATGAGGACCAGGCGGTAGTCCATTCTAGCCCCACCCAATGGGAATCCCATTCGGACCCTGGTCCATTAGAAAAAAAGTTCTGCGACCGCCACCCTCCTGGGTCTGGACTACAACCCCCAGAAGGCCGCGCGGTGCAGCCTCCTGACTTGCGCAGCGGCGTTGGCGGTAAAGCGTGGCCAGGTGCGGCGCCGCTGGGACAGCCGAGGCAAAAGGGGACCACGGGGAGTGAGGAAATTCGGCCAAACCACGTATCTGATAAGGGTTCCTGACACTGACAGCAGGAGTACAAGTTCAAATGGTGAAATCTCATCTCCAGGTTTCATTTCTGTTTCTCCGGTAACTAATCCGCTCCCGGGTAATACTTTTTAGCTCAATCATGTTTATAGAACAATTGCCCTGATTTTTATAATTAAAATAAAGGGCACGCCCTAGCCAGTGTGGCTCAGTGGGTAGAGTGTCGGCCTGCGGATTGAAGGGTTCGGGGATCAAGCCTCGGCCTGTTTGGGGCCGCGGGGAGGCAACCAACGGATGTGAGCATCCATGTTGTTCTCTCTGTCCTTCACTCTCCCTTCCACCCTCTCCAAAAATCAGTGGGAAAATATCCTCGAGTGAGGATTAATGAATGAATGAATGAATGAATAAATAAATAAATAAATAAATGGGGGGAAGAAGGATTTGCAAAGAACGCCCAATAACTCAACAACAAAAGCAGACCCCATTAAAAAACCATCTACACAAACGGCCAACGAGCTTCTGGAAACATGCCCACCATCATCGGGAAATGCAAGTCAAAACCACCAGGGGACGCCGCCTCACACGGTTAGGATGACCAGTTCGAAAAAGCAACAACAGAAAAGCAAGTACTAATGCAGAAATGGGAATTGCGCTGTGGACAGCGGTGTGGATGTTCCTTGAATGATTGAAAGTAGAGCCACCATGGACCCAGCAGGTCCACCTCTGGGCGTCTATGCGAAGGAACCGAGAGCTCAGCGACCAGCACTCCTGTGCTCACTGGGGCCCCATCGGAACAGAGAGAGGCCCCTCCCTGGTGATGGATGAAGAATACTCGTATGCGGCACACAGTTCACAGGGAATACCATCCGGCCTTTCACAAGGAGGAGGTTCTGCAGTGTTCCACCATAAGGACGGACCTGAGGACATGATGCCTCGAGGAATAAGCCGGTCACAGGAAGACAAGTGTGTCCCGCATTATTCCGCCTATAGGAGGCAGTCAAACTATTAGAGACGGGAAGTCGCATGGTGCCTGAGGGCCTCAGGGGAGGGAAAGGCAGGCTGTTCAGCTCCCTATTGAGCCTCAGTTCTGCAAGGTGGAAAGTCCCAGAGGGCCGTGGCATAACCACGGGCGTATTGGTAACTGTACAGTACATTTTCAAACGGTTAGGTTGGTCAGTTTTGTCTCTATGTGTTTTATATCACAAATAGAGGCCTGGTGCACAAAAATTTGTGCACTGGGGGGGGTCCCCCAGCCCGGCCTGTGCCCTCTCGCAGTCTGGGACCCCTCGGGAGATAAGGACCTGCTGGCTTAGGCCTGCTCCCGGGTGGCAGAGGGCAGGCCCAATCCCTAGGTGCAGCCCTGGTCAGGCTCAGAGCAGGGCCGATTGGGGAGTTGGGGCGCCACCCTCTCATGAACAGAGCAGGGCGGATCGGGAGGTTGCGATGCCACCCTCAGTCACGCTCAGGGTAGGGCCGATTGGGGGATTGGGGCACCACCCCCTGTCACTCAAGGCAGGGTCGATGGGGAGGTTGCGGCGCCACCCCGTCACGCACAGAGCAGGGCCAATCAGGGGGTTGGGGTACTGCCCCCTGTCACTCACAGAGCAGGGCCAATCAGGGGGTTGGGGTGCTGCCCCCTGTCACAGACCAAGGCGCGATCAGGGAGTTGGGGTGGGGAGCTCCCCCTGTCACTCACAGAGTAGGGCCGATAGGGGAGTTGGGGCACCACCCCCTGTCACACACAGAGCAGGGCGGATCAGGGGGTTGGGGCGTTGCACCCTGTCACACTCAGGGCAGGGCCAATGGGGAGGTTATAGCTCTACCCTGTCATACACAGAGCAAGGCCCATGGAGGGGGGTTGGGGCGCCACCCTCTATCACCCACAGAGCAGGGCCGATCAGGGGTTGGGGCGCCGCCACTGTCACACTCGGGGCAAGGTGGATGGAGAGGTTATGGCTCTACCCTGTCACACACAGATCAGGGCCCGTGGGCGGGGGGGTGGGGGGGTGGGGGT